AGAATTTTTCGCGTGAAGCAAGTCATCGTGACGCTCAGTTTCGCAATTGAAATTATAAACATTAATTGAGGTTCGCCATAACTGAGGTTAGCGTGCCCGCGTAACAAGGCTATTACGTGATTTAGAGTGAGGGCGAGTTCCCCCTTCATCAGTCGTGTACGTTTATGGTAAGCAATACGACTGAATAAGGGCTGAAAAATGAACTGATGGCTATTGCCTGCTCTCTCACTCACCTGACTTTGTCTTTGTGCTGCTGAATGTGCTGTGTTTATCTTTCTTCCCTCTCTCCTCTCTATCTTTGATCTCCCAATCCCACTCCCATGCGCAGGGTAGCAAACCGGCTGCCTATAGACTGGTTAACCTCCCTGCCGTTCTTTTCCACCTATTTTCATTCCTTTTTTTCCTGACTTTGTCTTGGACGTGAGCATTTTTAGCGATTCTTTTTTAAATTAACGAGTGAGAACTTTCTGCAGTAACCTGCGTCAATTAAGAAAGTAAGCAACTATACCATTCGTTTACAATTTTTATCACTACTCTTTATCTGCATGTATTTCATGCGCTAAGTGTGTTCGACATTTGTTAGCTTGTAACACATATTGTGCGTAGTATATATGACTGCAGTGTGTGTGTGTGTGTGTGTGTGTGTGTGTGTGTGTGTGTGTGTGTGTGTGTGTGTGTGTGTGTGTGTGTGTGTGTGTGTGTGTGTGTGTGTGTGTGCGCGCGCGCGCGCGTGTGTGTGTGTGTGTGTGTGTGTGTGTGTGTGTGTGTGTGTGTGTGTGTGTGTGTGTGTGTGTGTGTGTGTGTGTGTGTGTGTGTGTGTGTTGCGTATTAGTCGTTTCTCTCTCGTCAGGAACGTGTAGCGCCGTACTCATTCAATACGAGCGAATAAGTGAGATTGCATGTCCCGAAAAAGTGACCCAAAAAAAACGCCCCTTCACCAGCCGCTCCCATTCCGACACAACTCATGTCCAAAGAACTCGTATTTCATTTCGCTAAAACCTTCACCCCCACCCCTTTCTGTAAAAGCGCCCCTTTGCTCACTCGCCAAACTTCACCGGCATTCTGAACTGAAAAAAAAAAAGGTCCGTGTTTGAACAGCATCCACTTTCATTGACGTTCAGAACTTCCTAATCACTGTTTGCTCTCATCGAGGCTGGGCCATAGGTGGCGCTTTGCTAGCGTTCTCTTGCGACCAATACCGTAAAGCTCGACGCATCAATCGGGGCCCTCTTGACTCTTTGAAGTTGGCGCAATACTGTTCAAACAAGGTTACTCTGGATCGGTTGCACAGTGTGCATGTATTATAGCCTTGGCTGGAAAACGGAATTCAACCGTTCGCACGGGAACGACTTCGCTCGAGCGGTATCCTTTTTGCATAACGCGACAAGGCTACATGCACCGGAGGGCAAACTTTACAAAACCCAGCTCAACAAGGAAGTAGCATTTGCATTCAGACTATCGCTTTGAGACTAGTACAATTTCATTGGGCCCTTGACTCATCAAAGCTCAGGATGGGTGGCCTGCAGAAATGTGTGAATGCTGCGTTAATCGTTTGTCCTTCTCAAAGCGGGTTGAATCGATTGTACAGTATGACGATTTGAATACTCTGTTTAGCCCCTTTCTACTTTATGCCTGAAGAAGTTTGTTACAATCGTAACAAACTCGCTCCTTCATCGTTGTGCAGTAAAAGCTATGACGAGTCGTTTTTCTCTTTTGTTCATGGCTCCGTATAGCATAGCGTGAAAACATAAGAATGATGGACATGGTTGGAAAGGAGTGCCGACTTCCAAGTGATATTTATTTCTGGAAGAGAAATATACGTAAGTGCAGAAAGCGATAAACGCAAGCCTAATCGGAGCGTCATCTAGTCGAAGCACTTTAAGCACGTTTGATTCATTTGTGGGGTTTAACGTCCCAAAACCACCATATGGTTATGAGAGACGCGGTAGTGGAGGCCTCCGGAAATTTCGACCACCTGGGGTTTTTTAACGTGCACCCAAATAGGAGTACATGGGCCTACAACGTTTCCGCCTCCATCGAAAATGTAGCCGCCACAGCCGGGATTCGATCCCACAACCTGCGGGTCAGCAGCCGAGTGTACTTCAGCCACTAGACCACCGTGGTCGGGCTTAAGCACGTTTGAATCTTCTGAATCATGATGCCGTGATGTTCGCGTATACCATGGCTCGTACTCACACTGATAAATGGACAGTGAACTGGGCATCTGAACGTCAAACTGATGGAAGGTTGCATGCAGATTTTTAAAACTAAAAACGAAAAGGAAAGGTTCATTATCCCGCACGAAAATTTCAACCAGGACGAACACATGACCGGTTAAAAGTAAACAGAGCTACTCAGAATGATATAACTAGCGTTTAACACAAAAGTAAAATTTTTCGCAAGAGCAAGAATATTTTGAAGAATACGAACTAACAGAGTAAACAATTCTTTTTTGTATGACCTATCAATCCACCCACCCTCTCTGCTGGCTTTGTCGCTCTTTAAGGTGCCGTGCTATACAAGGTGTCCCACGTAATTTTTGCCGGAGTTTAAAAATATGCCGGAACACGTAATTACGACGCGACTAAGTGCATGTTGTTCACTACCTGGAGTTAGGTTATTTTTTGTGTTCTCAGGTATTGTTTAATTAGATCTTCTTAATTAACTTATTCTGGAAGGAACGAAGATGGATAAAACATTTGAATGAGAAAGTTGTAGATAGGTTTGCTAAACGTCCAAATAGATAGTCTTCAACTTTATATCTGTTTAGTATTAGTGTTTTTCTGCTACTTACATTTGCTACTCACTGATGTTTGTAGCTGCAGCTGTGCCACTCACTTAGTTTCACACTTCTCTTTGGTTCTCTTTAGTTTTTGCTGTACCCACCGTTGTCTTGCAATTTATATTGATAAACACCTTCGTACGGCTAGCAGTATGTGTGTTTGGAAAATGCGTGTGTATGTTGTACACCTCGGCCTTCCGATTTCTCTTTGATTTTTTTTTGTTATTGCCATTGTTCTCCCAGTTTTTGTTGCTCAGTTGCACCGCCGTTGCTGCTCACTTGAATTCTATACCTACGCCTTCCGAATTTCTTTATTGTGTTTCGTTCATGTACCTTGAATTTCTTGTTATTCAAGCTTTCTGCATATCGGTAAACATTCGCGTATTACATTTGTTTGAGTGTCAGTGACTAGACATGCTTTGTCACGGTGTTGTGTTATTTTCTGTGTATTCCATGTTACTGATGACCGCCCTATTACTCTTTGAAGTTTGTACCCACCTTACTCAATGCTCTCATTGAGCTTGTAAGGTATCATAACTAAATAAATAAGTGAGTAGCTTGCGAAATAAAAAAAAATATACCACGTGACAAACCCACTCGCGCGTCAGTGCGCACGATGATTCTAGAGCTCCCTAACGTTTCGCGTACGCACGACACGCTTCCCTGGCAACGGTTCATGACAGCGATAAGCAGTCACAGTGGTTACCGTTCTCGTAACCGATAGCAAAACACGTTTATCGTAAAGCCACCACCATAGTTGCGGCCCTGTCGAGACAGCACAATGGGGCAAATACTATGGTCGTTCGTACGCGGAACGTTAGGGAGCACTGGAATCATTGTGCGCATTGGCGCACGAGCGGGTTTGTAACGTGGTATTTTTTTGTATTTCGCGGGAATTTGTAATTAGCATAAAGCATTAATACTTAACAGATATCGAGTTCAAAACTGTCTAATCAGACGTTTTGTAAACCGATCTAGAACTTTCTCATTGAACTTTTTGATCTATCCTCGTTCCTTCAAAAGTTAGTTAATTAAACATATCTAATTAAACAACTTTTTAGAACACAAGAAATAGTCTGACTAACTCCAGGCAACGGTGAGCAACATGCGTTTAATCGCGTCGTAATTAGGTGTTCTGGCATATCTTTTAACTCTGGGTAAAGTTACGTGAGACACCCTGTATATTGAGAACAAAGGCACGGGTTTGGTGTTCGACCAAGGCGGCCACATTTGGGGGGGGGGGGGGGGGGGGGTTGAAACACAAAGCTCCCGCGTACACCAGCTGAGGTGTAATAAAAAATGTGGTCATTTCCCAGCTTTAAATATCAACCTCGAAAAAATCCCGCAGTTAATTTTTTTTTAAATGCAACTTTAATGCACACTTTTGCATACGTCGCGAATTCTCCATAAGCCACAGAAGCGAAGACCTTGCAGCAAATAACGTACTTAAGAACTACGTAAGATGTTGTGTGTTACCTCTTAAGTGCGTACAGACCAAGTAAACAGGAATATTGAAGGTAGAACTTGCGTCACCAAGGCGAGAAAAAAACGAAGAAGTGACAGCTGTTGCACGTGCTGAGCGCTTTCTACCATCAGCTTCAGAACAATTGGTTCTAGTTTGAAATACCTCTGGCGAGACAGCGCTAAATTTCTCATGCTGAAAGCTACATGCTCCGTGAGCATACTTGACAGCCGGCATTAAAGGTGGAACGGATTTCGTGACTTACTTCCTCGAAGTTTCTCGGTATGTCGAGAATTCGTCACGTCCGGCAGTAAAGGCTTAAGTAATAACGGGAAGTAAAAATATTTCCAATGTCTCCCTTTGCGGCTTTTCTCATTACCACGTCTTGGTTCTGGCACGTACCACCTGATAAGTTCATTTTCGATTCAGGTTGTTAAAATGAAAAAAAAAGGGGGGGGGGGGGGGTACGTGGTACGTTCCAAAACTACGATATTGTTACGAGAGAGACTGTAGTGGAAGGCTTCGGAATTTTCGGCCACCTCGGGTTCTTTAACGCGCTCCTTACTCTGAGCACGCGGGCCTGTAGCGTTTCGCCACTGTCGAAATGTGGCCGCTGTAGTCACTAATCGACCACGTGATCGGCGAGTAGGCAGTCAAGCAGCATAACCACTATGTCAACGCGGCGGTTGAAGCAATTAAAACGAGTTAACATTTATAATGATGATCTGATTGGAATCTGCTTTTTTTTTCTCGCAGTGTCCGTTGAATGCGAGCCGCACGTTATGCGAGCCCGCGTGCGCAGCAACATGGTGTTCAAGGGCAAGGTCTACACCCGGGGTCGACCTTCGACTTGCTCTCAGGACATCAGCAACAGCATGGACTTCACGCTTCCGATACAGCTGGCTGGATCTGACTGCGGCACCGTCAGTAAGGTCAGCATCACGAATTCGCTTTCCCGCTATATTGCAGAGTTCTAGCATGTTCGCAAACTTCTGTGCCTTAGCGTGAATACTGGATAGTGGTTAACGCGAGAGGCTGGGTAGGTGGTGGCGTCTGGCGGGGTCGAGATGAACTAGGCAAGCACAGAATCGTTACTGCAGAAATCTGAGGCATTCGACTTATCTGCTGGTGTGAATTCTCGGCAGTGGGCCGATACTGCATAAACAGTCCTCTTCACACTTTTTCCCCCCTCGAGGACACCAGGTCAAACAAACCATCGTGTTTATAATTGTGGTTGCATATACACACTGCATAATGTCGATACCATAATCCGGTGAACCGGTATTTCGCAGAACCTTTTGCGAATACGGGACGAACGAACAAGCAACTACTACCACAACTTCAAACGCGCGCTATCACTTTTGTCTTTTCTCCACGAGAACACTCGCTTCGCGACCGTAATGTTGTGGCTGCATGCGCTGCTTAATGCGTATCATAGGACAGGTTGAGAGAACGTCGAACGCGGAATTTCAACGGAACCAAAGCTTTGTTGCGAAAGAGCTTCTTTTGAAATTTCTGCTCCTGAGAGACATGCATTGTCCAATGACTACTCATTACTTCAAGTCTACCTCTCCCTCTATAAATTCGTGGTGAGAGATAAGAGGGGAGATAAAAGTTTCTTACCGGAACCACGGGGCTTTGTAGTGCGTACTATTAGCACGCTAGCTTCGCGAAATCTTGCGCTGCACACAAAAAGAAAGAAAAAAATCTGCTCATATCTACAAAGTTAATGCTGATGATGGTGCGAAGCAGTGTACAAAGGATCACGAATCGTGCCTGTCTGTTTCGTTCTTATGAACATTTTGTTCTTTCATATGCTTTGATTGATCGATGGTTAGATGTCGGTGTCTTTCTTTGGAGTTGCGGTCTTTTATTTTGTTTCTTCTGGTCAACAGTCTTTTGATATTCTTCTTTGAATTTCGCAGATGTTTCGGTTTCTATGTCTGCTGTAGACGCCGGATGGTGGTTTATGGACGGAGGGAAATTGTGCGGTTTTGAGGTGTTTCGTTCCTAAAAGTAAGGAGGAGGATGAAAGGAAATAGGCCCCGCCGCGGTGGTCTAGTGGATAAGGCACTCGGCTGCTGACCCGCAGGTCGCGGGATCGAATCCCGGCTGCGGTGGTTGCATTTCCGATGGAGACGGAAATGTAGGCCCGTGTGCTCAGATTTGGGTGCACGCTGACGAACCCCAGATGGTCTAAATTTTCGGAGCCTGCCACTACGGCGTCTCTCATAATCATATGGTGGTTTTGGGACGTTAAACCCCACGAATCAATCAATGAATGGAAATAGCGTGACAAACGTGCGACAAGTTGAATAAAAGCTATAAAACGTGTCCCACGCTTTTTTCCCCATCATTCATACTCATCGTTACTCACCAATTCGCGCAACAGTCTATTCTCGAAAAAGGAAAGCTGGTATTTCAAAAAAAAAAAAAAAGCCACATGCGGGATGTTTATTTTTTCATATGTGGCCCTTTTTTTTCATATGTGGCCCTTTCCTGCATCTGCATGCGAGTACGTTCTTGCAACGACGATATGCGGTCGAGAAAGCGCTCTCCACTCTCGGCGGATTCGCATTTATCAAAACGAATGGCCTTGCATGAAAAAAAAAAAACTTAGCCCCAGCAGCAATGATGATGCTTTCTGTACAAGTACAAGGAGAATGCAGTGCCGAAGAAAGTGAAATACAAATAGAAACCTCAGGCAACATGGAACGCGTTCAAAAATGCATGGCCGTGCATTGAAGGGAACGTGTTTAATCCACAAGACCCACTCGCACATGACTGGATGCAGTCAGGCTAGTGTTCACAAGAGAAAGCAAATGGGCGAAAAGGCACTAACGCCTCCTTTCAACGCACTCATGCTGGACGGCGAAGCCGTTACGTCTTCTCACCCCACTTTCTTTGTTTTATTTTCTTTCTTTCTTTCTTTCTTTCTTTCTTTCTTTCTTTCTTTCTTTCTATCTATCTTTCCACTCCACGAAGCGCGCAGATTGCATCTTCTCGCGGTCATCCATCACATCTTCCAAACTCGGCACCAAGAACGTCTGGACAGACGGAGTACTGGCCCCGCCTTCTATATGAATCAGAATCGCTCTTTCTTTTCCGCTGTCTGTCTCCCCCACGACTCTCTTGATCTCTCCCCCCTCTCACGTACTTTACTGTTGTTGTTGTGGTTTTGAGCCAGCCGGGGCATATATAGCTATAGATGCGACTGGCGAGCGGCATACATCCGTGTACAGCTCCAGTTTCTCTTCCAGTTCCAATCTGTGTTTTCGTGCCGAAGAAACATCAATTACACAAATCTTATCCTTCTGTACTGCTCCTCCTCCTCCTACTACTACTACTACTATTACAAGTGGTAGTAGTAGTAGCACAGTAGTCATTGTCTTACTACAACCACTACTACTACTACTGCTTTAACTACTACACACGTTCGCGTCGTTCTCATTCGACACCGAAATTTTCTTGGGTGCGTCACCCCTTCCATGTATGTGTACGCGCATGCGCTGACGCGCCTGTGGATTTTTCTGAACACTTTTTTTTCCCCATGTGTCCCCGCTTTGTAATTGTGAGTGTAGCGCCTGTCGTTTTCGCTACTACAACATTATCAGAGAAACTGGGCTCACCCAACGAGGAGTTGCCTTCATGGACGCGCAGCGTTCGTATGCATACTTCAATTCAACGCCTCCTAAAAAATTATGCCTGGAACGTGAGCCACGAACGCGCTGCCCAACCCTCTGATTATACCCTCCTCCTTCGGTACGAAGGCGAGCGTCTCTGACGGTCGCCCCCTGCGTACACAGCAATGCTCTCACAGTTGCCTCCGAGCAGCCGTCGTGTCACGTGACAGAGCGGTAAATGTCACGTGACTGAGCGTTATGGAGGCGAGCGGTCTCACGCGGCGGCTGGTCGCAACACAAGGCAGGAGGCATGGCCTCCGAGATTGCTTGCTGGCAAGAGGCTCTCAGTTGAAAAGAGAGCGGCGTTCCAGGCATAGTTTTTCTAGGAGGCGTTATTCAACTCCATATAGATCCGCACTGCATGTTTTCTTTGTTGTTGTTTTTTTTGCGTTGCTTGTTTTTCTTTTTGTATCATCGCTTCAAGCGAAGTGCAAGGGCAGGGCCATGGAAAGCCACGGAAGGAGTTATCTTGTGAGGAGAGGGGGAATGCTGGGTGAAATAGAGAATGGTGGATGGTCAGGTCGAATGAATGAATGAATGAACAACTTTATTTATCCCTTGTTAAAGGGAAGGGGGCAACAGGAAAGGGTGTGGTGGGGATGAACTACTTGAAGTAGTCCTCCTCTACCCTCTCAGCCCACTCCAGGATGGCCTCCTGGATAGCGGGCCTCGAGCTGCGCAAGGCAGCCTCCCACTGCTCCTCACTAGAAATTAGGCGTTTCAGGAATGGGGGAAGAGGGTGCTTAGGGCAGCGCCACATGATGTGGTTCAAGTCTGCTGTGGAGGAGGCACAAAATTTACATGAGGGGGAAGGATAACAGGATGGATGAATGCGGTGTAGGAGGTAAGGCGAAAGAAAGGTGCGAGTCTGCAGCTGTCGCCACAGAATTTCGCACCTGCGTGAAGATTTGCGCGTGAGTGGCGGGAAGGTTAATCGCTCTAAACGGTAGTGTGTGCAAATATCGTGGAATGAAATAAGGCGATCCCGCGCTGTAAATGGCGCCTCATTCGTAGCGAATTGCGACACATCGGATGCGTGTGCCCGGACTGTGAATCCTCGGGCACTCGCATGAGCCGCCTCGTTTCCGGCAAGGCCCGCATGCGCGGGAGTCCAGATTAGTGCTACAAGTCGATCAAGGGGATGATGCAAAAGTAGGGAAAGGGCTGGCTTAGAAACCCTGCCCGCTCCGAAATTATATATAGCTGTTTTGGAGTCACTGATTATAACGGATGAACTAGGTATTGTCAGGGCCAGGGCTATGGCCGCCTCTTCCGCTTCCTCCGAAGAAGAAGCAAGAACGGAGGCGGCCGCAGCGACCTGGCCGTGAGAGTTGATTACCGATATTGCATAATGATGCCTGTTTCCGTAATCGGCGGCGTCAACATAGAGCACATCATTGGAGGAGGAGAATTCGCTGCTTCTCTTCTCGCCACACTCGGCCTGGGTTTGGGACGTGAGCTGCTTGGCATTCAAACGAAGATGGATTTTCTGGGTTTTCCGCACCAAAGCCCCGAGCCAACCCGGATTAGAATTCACTCTCTTTTTCGTGGCATGTCATGACCGTTGTCCAGTAGTTTTCTTTTCTTCAATTTATTTTTTTTTCGTCACGTGTGAGTCTAGATATGCTGTGAGGTTGTCCGATACGCTGGTCGTGACGTTATCCGTAAAGTAAGTGATGTGATGTCGAGAAAGAGCGCATCTTCAACGTAATGATGACCAAAAAACAGAGAGAGAGGAGATGTTTGCACTTGTAGGTTGTAGGTTGTGGGTGTAGGTTGATGTAGGTTCGGGGTTACTTAGAACATTGACAGATGAGAACCTGCCCGGTGTCACAGCAACAGGACGTTGTCTCGATAATCCACCTACTTCACTATGCCACGGCACATCTACCCTTCCTCTAGTGAAAGTGTAGCGATAAGCCCATTCATCTTGGAGGCCATCGTTCTAGCAATGACAGTTTTTCCGGCCCCTACCAAAGTCTACCAAAGACAGAGGGAAGCGCAGGAAAATGAAAAAGGCGGAATGTGGCTTTTCTTTACTCTTTTTATGTAGTATATGAAATTACTCGAAGGGCCTACACCTGCAGATATCAGTCCGTTATCGACTTCAAAAATTCTTGTGACATGACACCGTTATCTACCACCTATAATGACTGATTCTTGAGGCATTGCATTTCTTCGTTAACATCGGACCGGTTTAAGTCAGCAGTATCTTGTCCAGCGCGAGTAAAAAAACAAAAAAAATAGTGACCACGATGACATCACCGCACGTCGCCCAGCAACTGGTTGGCTAGCGTGAGTTACGAAAGATTGCAGCGCTCCGTCGGTGCCACCGAGAACTACAGCCTGAACGACCGTTTGCCAAATGCATTGATCAACCCACGCCATGAATGCTCTCGCATCCACAGCCACCCTCACCTTTAGTATGGACACACGATCGGAGTATCGCATTTCATTCACCGAACACAGTATAAGCACTCCAACTAAATGGCCTCGGGGGTCAAAATTTTAGCAAAAGCTTTATGCACGCTTCATGTCCGCCACGTTGGTGTAGCGGTTAGGGTGTCCGGCTGTTCTATCCCGACCGTGGCGGCCACATTTAGATGGAAGTGGTAACCTAGAAGCCCGTGTACTGTGCGATGTCAGTGCACTTAAATTGGTCAAATCTTCCACAGCCGTCCACTAGGGTGTCTCTCATAATCATATCGCGGTTGTGGGTCGTTAATCCCTAGTCTTATTTATCTTAGAACATAAATTCCAAATCAGCGTTCGAGCCTGTAGTATCGCTTGTGACCTATATATTTATTTGCTATGCATTAGAGCCGCTATGTAATGACAGAACTGAAATTGACAGTTTCCCGGCTGTGGCGGCTGCATTTCCTATGGAGGCGGAAATATTGTAGGCCTGTGTACTCAGATTTGGGTGCACGTTAAAGAACCCCACGGGGTCAAAATTTCCAGAGCCCTCCACTACTGCGTCTCTCATAATCATATGGTGGTTTTGGGACGTTAAACCCCATAAATCAATGAAATCATCGAAATTGACAGTTTCGAGGGGAGCCCACTTATCGCAAATCTCGCTGCCGGGCGCACCACGACGAATGGTTAAAACAGCGCGTGCTTTCCTGCAGGCCGAGGGTCACTTTGCCAACGTACTGGTCATTCAGAGCAACGACCAGGTGGTCACGGCTATGGACAAGGCCATCGGCGTCTCCTGCACTTTTGACGTTGGCAACAAGACCGAGTTCGCGTCCGCCAAGGTCTCGTAAGTATACCAGCCTTGCGTGGTTCGAGAGGCAAAGCTGAGCCCTACACGATTTATATAGAAGTAGGCTAAGAATAAGAAAAAGAAGCAAGGAAATTTAAGGAGGTTGACGAGAGCCACGTCCTGTTTGCTACATTGCACTGAGGAAAGGACTAAAGGGGCCGAAAGTGTCAAAGAAGAAAAAAAAAAGCAGGGACGGAACCACGAGCACACTTGAGAGGGCACATGTAGTCTACAGGCTGTCCCTCAGGACTGTTGACTTCAAATATATTAGTAGCGCTACTCCGCCGTTGGCGCACTCGTCCGTGTTTCTAGAACTTTCGTATGCAAGAAATGGGCTGAATTGTGCAGTGCCCCTCTTGGAGTATATGTTGTTCGTTTGTGAGAATAAAAAAACGGCAGAGGGGGGGGGGGGGTTAACCAGGATGGAGTTTTTCTTCACGGAGGAAGAGGATGAAGAGTATGAGAGAATTGTTTAGACAGTGGAGCTGTTGACACATTCGTATTTGATTGCTTATCTTTGCTCTACAGTAGTTTTGGCACCATATAACACAGTTTATCCAGTCTTCGATTGATATACTCCAAGTCAGAGGAGCTCCTTCATCTTTCAAACACGACCGGAGGTGACCGGAGTACGGCCTGCCCAATGCGTTTGGCACATACCTGCTATAGCAGCTGCTTAATTTTCGTGGAGCGTAAGTGAGAAGCGGAGCTTGTGCATCTTCTGTCTATAGCATACCCGCTAGGCCATTTAGTGGCACCTTCTTCATTTTTTGGTGAACCGGAGTTGAGTAGCTTAGCTTTCTTAGTTCATGTGACACATAACCCGTAAGGCTTCTCGATTTTCGGTGGACCGCTGAAAGGAGTAGTTGAGCATGCACAATTTTTGTGGTGCATGCCCACTAGAAGCTACTGCTCCTATAGCGGGTACGCGTTAGGTTAATCCCTGCGGTACGTACGCGCTCCCAGGGATTATCCTAGACATTGAACAACTCCGCTGCTAAAAAGCAAAACAGAAAAACAAAAACACTGTCGGTGCTTCCGCTGTAGTAAATATTTCGCACTCGGTTCCCGAAATATTCAGTCGGCCCGGAGGCCTTGATAAAACGCAGCACCCGGTTCCGCGGGTAACAAATATTGCGTACCGTAGCAATTAATTAGGAGATCCCAATTCAGTTTATCAAAACGTGATCTCCCTCTGCACATACACATATGGTAATTCCCGCGTCTTATAATGGGCATTTAAATGGTAGTACTCTATCCCGTTGAGCAGGAATATTAAAATGTAACCAGTGTGCTGATGACTACGGTACTGATAGTGTACCACTCACGTTCGCATACCCATTGCACTTCAGGGACCCGAGACAGACGGACCACAGCCGGGGAAAGCCTCCACTGCCGGAGTTGTCCCTGCATATTCTGGACATGCGAGGGAACGAACGCGAATCGGTGTCGCTGGGCGAACTGGTACGCGTTCAGGTGCGCATGTCCGAAGAAGGTAAGAGTTCTCAGTGACCTCTGCCTATGAAGTACTGATAACTCGAATGACTCGTGAAGCCAAGTCCAGTTAAAGACATCGGCGAATGGAATTCCGGCGTTGGTGCAATCTTTCTTGCCGCTTCTTTGGAGGTTCGTAAGGATCTCCTTGAATAGCTTTTTGTGGACCTCCCTCTTCCGAAAGAGCGTCAAGGCGATGTCGAGGCATTGCGTAAAATTCGTTTTAGTTTCCTTTGTTGACGCTCCTCACACAGTGTTGTCAGATAACACGCATAAAGTATTTGAGTTTTATTTGATCTTTTTTTTTTTGCCCAGCGTCTCCTAGCCAGCCCCACCGCAATGGACATCATTTTCACGAGCCATCATAGTTCACTGTGTTTGCAAACTCTGCAGCCTGATTGTGACCTTAATCTCTGTTGTAGTCGCTTGACAATTTACGCTACGTGGTTTGCGTACGTCACGTGCAACTGATAGCAGACGCCAAAGCTGTGGCTAGTACCCCGCAAGATGATTCGCCTTCTGATTTACATGTATGTCTGACTCTAGTTACACGTCACTGTAGGACCGCCGCCTTCATATCAAAATCAGAAATGGTTCTTTTAAGGCAGCAGAGTTAAAAATTTTATATATTGAATGCGTTCCGAGGCTACCCGCTGCTCTTTCTAGGGTTCTCGACAACACTGATTTTGGTTACAGCAACTACACGAAAACTTCGTGTCAGTACTCCTCCAAGGGTGCCCATGCCCTTAAGGATCTCTTTTATCGCTGCTGCACCCTCACCAGTCACACTTTCAGGATAACAGTTCTGGCGCTGCCCCTGGTAGAGTATCTTGCAGCTTGAATTCTGGCGCTGCCCCTGGTAGAGTATCTTGCAGCTTGAATTCGAGGAATCGCTGGACTTTCGAAGATGAATCAGCCTTTTCGCGAGATTTAGATGCAGTATCACTGCGATCACGAGTACCTATAAGCTGTGTACGTTATGCAGCTTGCACGGGCGGCAATTCTATCAAATGATTTTGCGTTGTTCGCCACATCGCCCTCGTTTTCTTCTTCTTATGGTCCACGAGTGCTATGCGGCGTGCGCGAGGTATTCGTGAATGGTGTTCTAAAGAAGAAAAACAAGGTGGGTCACAGTTGAGTTAGTCATTCACAAGTATTAAATACTGGATAGCGCCGATTTAGCACTAGGACAAATGAAGAATATTACTAAGCAGGACAAAGGCTAGTCCTGTGTAAATCTATTCCATCCATCATTTAGCAATATGAGCAAACTAAATCATCAGTGACTTTTTGTTAAGTTATACGTTCGCAACTTGTACACATGCCTTCTCTAGACGCGGAAGCTAATCGCCATCCCAGTGGTTTGTGCAAACGGTGTGACTAAGCACTCATGGTCAACGTTAGCTCCAACAGTATCGCGGAATAAGTTGTATTTTCACTGCTTCCCAGACACGTACGGCATCTTCATCAAGAACCTGATCGCCCGCGATGGAACGGGTTCTACCAATCTGACGCTGATCGACAAAACGGGGTGAGTTAATGATGTGACTGCTTTGAATTGTTACTTGAAACAATATGCCCCAATTCAAAAAATAGGTCTTGTGTGCGATTCTCAGCATGGCTGCTTGGGCATGTTTTAAATCTGTGCCGTGAAAGTGCACGACCAATCAATCAATCAATCAATCAATCAGTGAATGAGTCAGTCAGCCAATCAATCAATCAACTCATTGTTGTGAAATATAAAACAGTGAAAGCATGCTTGACTCCAAATTGCAGAAAAATCTATTTCCTTCTTTGTCTGAGAACAGAGGCTCCAAGCAAACGTTTCAGCCTCTAGTTGTTCTTGCCGCCCATAGTTACCTGCCACATTAGACGCGTCATTCACTAACATAGAGAAATTCCTATTTCCGGTTAAGTTCACGCCCACGAACTTTTGCGGTAGGGTGTGCTCGGACGTGTGAAAGGGAACTGCTTCACACTGGGCTTCTTCACGGCTTATCGACCCCCTACATTAGAGCAGCAACTCTGTACGACTCGCAAAACAGTAAAGAGTAACCCTAGTCAGTGAAGAAGTATAACTCTCAGGCCTATGTGTTGGAAATGAGATAACATTGAGGTGGAACCTATCAGATATATAATTTTTTGCTAACGTAGACCTTCATCGTATCATTCAAGTGGCGTAAACTTGAATGCATTGCATGGGCACACCTGAGTGCATGTACCGGCACAGGTGTCCCGTGGAGGCCAAGATGATGCGCGAAATTCGCACCATCGACTCGCACAGCAAGTCCCTGGAGAGCTACCTCGAGGCGTTCGCCTTCACCGGCAGCAGCACGCTGGAACTCGAGGCTGAAGTGGTCACGTGCCTCGAACGCTGCAAACCGGTGAGTCACTAAGCACAGCAATAAGACGCATTGCAGGAAAAGCAATGCAAGAAAAGCAATTTAAACTCACACAGTTCATTGTGCATTCGGTTAAGATGACTCGATATCGGATGCAATATTTTTCTTCTCAGCCGACGTATTGATCTTCCACAGGACTCCTTCGAAAGCCTTCTCCACCTAACGCTTTCTGCACTGCCTTCGAGATCAGAAGCATTGAAAATTTTTTGCACGTCACCCGGTTTTACACTGCCTCCGTGATCAATCCATCGAGCGACGATCTCGTGCGATGACGTAATCATGCCGCATCTCGATGACCTCATACGGACATTATGACGACGTCACAAATTTTGACGCTCCGTGACATCGTGCCGACGACTCATGGTGGTGGCGTCATCACGTGACGATGATTTATTGCATCACTCGTGATTGGCACCGCCGACGGTGAGTTTTCGAGCGTGATCAAATATTTGAGGCTGTTCGCCTTAATGAAGAATTGCTGAAGCAATGAGTTTCCATCAGAGTTATTCAGTCGTACGAGTTGCGGAACTGAGTTCCAACACCCGGAACGCCATTGGCCCATCCTGCGGGGCTTAGCAGACTGTCGCGTCATCCGAAAGAGCCAATGCAACACGCAAAAGTATTACGTTTATTAGTTGTTTTTTTATCACCAGGTACCGCGACAATCTGCACACTCCCGCCATCTCGGTCAATGGCGTGCCCGTATTTTGATACGTGGAGCCTACGGGGAGTTTCTCGACTCGTATGATGAAAGAAGTCTGGTTTCCACGAGAGTCACGGAAGCCATAATCTTGGGTCATCAACGAGATTTGCACGTTGACGGTTGTAATTTTGCAGCGCGTAAAGAGCCCTCGCAAGCTGGTATTGCACAGTTAGCATCGCATTGTCATTGAAACTAGCGTCAGCTTAACAAAGAGCTTATGTGTTTCGTTGGTGTTCCGGAGGGCCGCATCTCATAAAAAAAAAACTGATGGTAGAAAAGGGGGTCGGCGTGCACGGAAACAGAAAACATGATAATAGTCATAGAAACTCGGAACTTTATTCGTCTTGCGAATATAGCACAACAAGAACAAAAGCCAGAAATATCAAAATGAATTGTGTTGAGGGCATTTTAAATATACGCTGCCTTTATTTCTGTGAGAAAAGTAATTGAGTTTGGAGCAGGAACAATCGCTTATGCTTGCTCAAAGTTTGAAAAAAAAAGTGATATCTTGTTCCTCCTTCCAGTATTTCCCATGGCCCAGCTGAAGTGTTTTATATACGCTGAAACTTTACTACACTTGTCAAATGTTGCTTCTTGTGAGCGGCTATTAATTGCGCGCTAGAAGCTTGAGAAGTAATTGCGCATTACACTAGAGGCAGCACATGGATTGCTGAGAGCTTTCTAAGCGAACGTTCTGAGCGGCTGGCCTTGCACGTTAACTCATTAAATTATTTAATTAAAACGGGAACTGCGCTATGAGGTAAAGCCATGCTCCGTGTATATACATATGTATATAGGAAAGAGAATAGAACGTTTGTAATCAGGATATATTGCTGCTGTCATTCAGGGTGAGCACGGCGCTTGCGAAATATTCCCTAATACGTAAAACGTGTGAATTCATGAAGAAGAGCAGCTAAAATATGCGGTGACTAACCTTAGCGAAAGCGGCTTAGCGTCGAACATAAATGAGAGCCATGGTAGCAACAGCGACGTGAAGCGTGGGCTTAATCGCTGTGACCTAATTGCCCTGCAGCTAAAACGAACACAACGTAGAACTGTGAGAGGAAGGGACCATTGCGAGAACGAGGGATTTTAAATGAAGTGCGGTGATGGAGTGGCAGTGCTCGAAATGAAAAAAGAGATGAAAACGAGAATTGAAGGGCTCAAGGAAGATTATGCTTTTTTGGGGGTTTCTTTCTTTCTTTTTCTTTCTTTCTTTCTTTCTTTTTTTCTTTCTTCCTTTCTTTCTTTCTTTCTTTCTTTCTTTCTTTCGTTCTTTCTTTTTTTCTCATTGAGCTCTGAAAGATTGGTTGGAACGCCGCTATCGCCGTTGTGCACTAGTCAGTTACAGGTGCTTCTCGCACGATCGGGAATCTGGCCTTGCTGTTGTGTATAATTGCTAATTGCCGAGGATATAAACCGTAATCTGCAGGAAATAGCTTATTGTAAATGATAGCTTCTGCCCAAATGAAGAAAGAAATCGGTTAGAATATATTATAAGGGGGGGGGGGATTAATGATTTAGAAAAAGAGGAATTTCGGGGGAAGCTTCCGCCAGGCCGCGCAAGCCTTGAATAAGCAAAACGATTGTGAAAGCTAATCTGGTCGCTTATAGGCCTTAACTTGGTGACGCAGGTCGTTTCCAGATTGTTTTTTTGTAAGTCGCTGCTAGGCCTCAGCTAAGTGATGATGGGTTGTTTCTTTCGAGAGGTTCACGTTAAGTCACAAACAGTCACAGACACAAAACGAGCCTGTCGTTGTTGACGTATTACGCCTTCCATCGCTTCGGGGTCTTCTGGCAGCTGCCGTTGCATTTACCGTTTCCGAGTAGTCACTCGCTGTTTGTACTCCGAGTTCTTCGGCTCAACACCGTCGTTTCGCGGCCATTTCTTGAACCAACTGTTGTAATCTTCGTTTTTGGCATAGATCAGTGGTAGACCCACCATGGTAATCTACTATCTAAGGTACTCGGCTACTGACCCGCAGGTCGCGGGATCGAATCCCGGCTGTGGTGACTCCATTTTCGATGGAGGTTCGAACATGCTGTAGGCCCGTGTGCTAAGGTTTGAGTGCACGTTAAAGAAAACCTGGTGGTCGAAATTTCTAAAACCCTACACTACGGCGTCTCTCATAATCACATGGTGGTTTGGGGACGTTAAACCCCACATATAGATCAATAGACCATTGGTTAGTGGTGGGATTCACTCAATTTCTGTCGCACGTATCCATTTGTCATAATGGCAGCTTTTTTGGCACGGGATCAACAGGGAACGATTTGCTAAGCAGATCCGCTGATTAAAAGGAAAAAAAAAAGAAAACTCACGTTAACTGCAAGTGCAAGCAATCGATGTGATAGCGACGAATTGCCATGTTACATGAAGCGAGGCCAGTATCCAACTTTTTTTAGCACGTGATCTGGCGTAATTCGACAAGAACACAGGCAGGGGGAAATGCGGTCGCTATGCGCTAGTTAGGCGAGTTTTTATTGTCTAAAATAAGGACCGCATTCGCAAACTAACCTTATCTCGTGTTTTACATTGGCACGATTGGCTGTGCTATCAGTTACGTCAGCCTCAGCGTCGTGCCCAACCACAAGCGCCATTGGCTGCGTTGTGAGTGACGTTGTCCATCCCGTCGCAGCCGGGGCGCCGAGCATGCGCGCGTCAGTTTCTGCTGAGACCTTTCACATGGATAAGCCACGGACAACTTTTGAGGAGCACCGACAGTGGGAACGTGAGAGATCTCGCACTCGCTGGGCCGATGGTGCAGTCCGGTCGCAAAAACAGACCCAGGAGGCTGAGTGCCGGCAGGAACTGCGTCACCGATGATCCGGCAGCCTTCCGAAGCAAGACTGAAAGTTGGGCTAGTTTGTGATACATTATGGGCAGAAACAGCGCACAAACTCACGGGACGAAGAGAAGAGACACAAACAAGCCTTCCTAGCCACGCTAAAACGTGGACGGGAATGCAAGCGCCGGTGGCGAACGGATCCTGCAATCCACGCCGCCGAGTTAACTCGCGATGTCAAACGCTCGCAACCACTTTCAACAACGGCGGGCCGAACAGGCGCCGTTGCGGGCACGAGAGCGTCAACGTGACGATTGTGGGAGCGCGTTCGCTGGCGCGAACGCATGATTTCGGCGGGAGTTTCTTCAGCGGCACTCTGGCTTCGACTGCAACGTCTGTGACCACCTGTCGTTCCAGAACAATCTTTGTGGCTAACGCATTGCGAAAAGTATTTAACAGCCGAATACACTCCCCCATTACAGGGATCACGCGAGGCACAACGTGTGGCATGTGTAATACGTACAGCGGTAAACCCAAGGCAAACGTGTGTCTAAACTCATTATAACCACGAACGAACTCGCACGCTGAATTTCGTGCCAACTGATTGTGCCCTCGTGATCTCCAACGTCAGCGCAGCTTTGGCCGACTGGGCTCATCCTACGCCATCTCCTGACGCCGACAAGAGCTCTCGTCGAGTGGTGCCCCGTCCTCGGACTCCTGCGACCGTGTCCATCTTTCCCATCTTCTGTTTACTTCCGTCGCTCGCTGTCCCTGCGCCTCGCCCTCTCCTTCCTCTATCTCTATACATACCTTTTAATCCTATCCTTTTAATTCCTCCTCACCCCCATCCCTTGTGATCTACTGTTGAGGTGTCGCACCAGATGCAGACAGTTACGGGGCTCACTTTTCCCATATTTTTCCTTTAAGAACCACATAAGAAGCATGAACATGTAACCAATAATTGTGAAAGGCTTCAGTGCAGCATCGGGTTGAACCCACTGCTTAACACCAAGGCCACACGTTTCAGCTATTGCTGAATAACCATTTGTACGGATCGCTTGGGCGGTTTTTTTTTATTGTAACTTTCACATCCATGTAACAAAAAACTTTGCAAACACTTGTTTGGTCCCATAGCCTAACTGGCTAGTAGAGGGACCAATTGTGTGACAAACCTACATACTTGCGCAAGCGGTTACACAGCGACAAAGGACATCAAACTGGATACAATGTTTAAAATAGACAAAAAAAGCAAAAACACATGATTGAACTATACAAAGAAACATAGCGCAGAACATAGCTATTTATAGCACAGAATAATAATAGCACTAGAATAATACTAGTCATAATAATAAAGTAATGATACTAAATGACTATGCAGACGTATTACTTAGAAAGTTCGCATGAAGTGCATGCTTCATGGCCAATGAAAAATTTCCAGCCTCTTTCACATCAGTCGGTATCGCATTCCATATGAGAGCGCCGTGACATTTATG